GCCAAAGGAGCAATGGCCTCTGCCAGCTCTCCTACCTGGGAGAAAGCTGCCCTTCCACCTCTCACCCCAATTTCAAGCAGGTTAGTTCCTCCCCAAATGTCCCAGGTTCCTTTCTAGCTGCTGCCTGGCGCTGGGGCTCAGAAGGAGCGCGTCCCAGTACATGCGCCGGCCCTTTAAGAGCTTCCTAGGGCTCCCACACCCTCAGCAACCCTCAGAGACAGTCCCCGCTGGTTTCTCAACCCAGAGTTGTGGGGACGTCTCTTCCCAGCCCTGGAGCCCTGGGCTGGGGGTCTGTTGTGGGGCTGGGACCCTTCGCTCCTCCGGGAAACCTGCATCGCAGAGATGTCCCTCCCGGGTTTAAACCTCAACACTGGGTGTGGGCCCGAGGTGTCTCCGCCCCTCCTACTGCTCTCCCTGCTTCTTCAGTTCCTTGGTTGTAGGTCTTCTGTTCAGCCAGATTTCAGGAGGTTCTGAGTGATAGCTGTTCTGTATTTTAGTTGTAATTTTGATGTGGTTGTGGGAGGTGGCGGGTGCAGCTGTTACCTATGCCACCATCTTGTTTCTCTTAATAGTTTTTATAAACATATAAAAAAGAAATAATCTGGTCAAGATGGCAGCGTAGGTAAACACAGTATTCTCCTCCTCCCACAACCACATCAAAAATACAACTAAACTACAGAACAAAGAACATTCAGAATCACCTGAAATTGAGCTGAATAGAAGTACTACAACTAAGGAATTAGAGAAAAGCTACATCAAGACAGGTAGGAGGGGCGGAGATGAGGAATGGGTCCCACACTCGCGTGTGGTGGAAAAAACTGGGAGGGATATCAAGGCTGCAGAGATGCCCCCTGAAGAGGAGGGGTCCCAGCCCGACACCAGGCCCTCACTCAAAGGTTCATTCCACAGAGTGCCAGAAAGAAAAGTACCCATAACTTCTGGTTGTGAAAACCAGTGGAGATTGAGGCTGAGGGAGACAGAGGCTGCTGGAGTCCCAGGCAGTTCCTCTTAAAGGGCTCATGCAAGGACTTACTTGGACTCACTCCCTCTGAGCTTCAGCTCAGGGGCAGCAGCTTAAAAGGCACCAGAGACACACAGGAAGGAATTGAGCTGCTTGGCATCAGGGTGAGAGCTGGAGGGGCAGCTTTCTCCCAGACAGAAGTGCTGGCAGAGGCCATTGTTCCTTTGTGGGGTCCTCCTCCCACGGTGCCAGTAGATGGGCACCATATCTGAGACTCCATCAACCTGGCTCACACTGTTTGCCCTACTCTGGTGATTTCCTGAGACCCCACCCCACCCAACTTTTGGGCTACTCAAGCTGTTGCCAATGGCTTTTCCATATGAATAGCCTGTCTCAGCTCATGCTTCAGATTTTCCTAAATTCTCTCAAACAAGTAGCATCTGGCCTCAGGGAGTCAGATATCTCTAGCTAAGTGGCCCCAGGCCCAGCACTAGCAGCAGCTGGCCTTGGTTAACAGCTTGGCCTTGCCTGGGCACCTCCAAGCCCAGCACAAGTAGCAACCATCTGCAGATCGCTTTGTAGCTTATGCCAGGTGGCCCCAGGCAGAAGAGGCAGTGGCTGACATTGGCCTGCAACTCCCAGGAGACTGGAGAGCTTCAGACACATCAAAACACCACTATCCAACAACCTCCATAAGCAATGCATTCAAGGGGATGCACCAGAGCCCCACTGAAGTAAGTCCTGCTCTGTGGGGTAGGCCCCTTGCACAGGTGATCCTACACAGTGGTCAGAAGTTGGTGGTCAGCAGTCACAGCCAGTCCTTGTAGCTGATCAGCCTAGGTAAATCTCTTCCACTGACATGCCAACAGCAATCAAGGCTCAACTATAACAGGAGGGTGTACAGCCCACATGGGCAAACCCTGAGTACCCAGCTTACGTGCTAGGGGAAGCTGTGCCACTGAACCCTACAGGACACTTACTACATTAAGGCCACTCTACCAAGCCCAGCAGACGTAGCAGCTCTACTTAATACATAGAAACAAACACAGGGAAGCTGCCAAAATGAGAAGACAAAGAAACATGGTACAAATAAAAGAGAACAAAACTCCAGAAAAAGAACTAAACAAAATGGAGACAAGCCATCTACTAGATGCAGAGTTCAAAACACTGGTTATAAGGATGCTCAATGAGCTTAGTGAGAATTTCAACAGCATAAAAAAGGACAAGTCAGAAATGAAGGATACACTAAATGAAATGAATAATTTACAGAGACTCAATAGTAGAGGAGATGAAGCCAAGAATCAAATAAGTGATTTGGAATATAAGAAAGAAAACAGAATAGAATCAGAATAACAAGAAAAAAGAATCTGAAAAAATGACAGGATTAGGAGCTTCTGGGATAACTTGAAGTGCACAAACATTCACATCATGGGGTTATCAGAATGAGAACAGGGAGAGCAAGAAATTAAAAATCTATTTGAAAAAATGGCAGAAACCTTCCCTAACTTGGTGAAGGAAATAGACACACAAGTCCTGGAAGCATAGAGAGTCCCAAACAAGGTGAACTCAAAGAGGTCCACAGCAAGACACATCATAATTAAAATGCAAAACATTAAGGACAAAGAGAGAATTTTAAAAACAGTAAGACAAGAGCAGTTACCTACAAGGGAGGAATCATAAGACTGTAAGCTGAGTTCTCAACAGAAACTTTGCAGGCTAGAAGAGAGTGGGAAGAAATATTCAAAGTGATGAAAAGCAAGGACCTATAACCAAGATTACTCTACCCAGCAAAGCTATCATTTAGAACTGAAGGTCAGATAGAGCTTCACAGATAAGAAAAAGCTAAACTAGTTCATCACCACCAAACCAGTATCATATGAAATGTTAAAGGGTCTTCTTTAAGAAGATAAAAAATATGAACAATAAAATAGTAATAAATACATATCTATCAACAACTGAATCTAAAAAAAACAAAATAAACAAGCAGAACAGAAACAGAATCACAGATAAAGAGAACATTTGATGGTTGCCAGATGGGAGAGTGTTTGGGGAGAGAGGCAAAAAAGCTGAAGGGATTAAGAAGTACAAATTACAGAATAGTCACAGGGATGTATAGGCATAGGGAATATAGCGAACAATAGCCTAATAACTATGTATGGTGTCAGATGGATGTGAGATTTATCAGGATCATCACTTATTAAGCATGTAATGTCTAATCACTGGGGTGCGTGCCTGAAACTAATATAATAGTGAATGTCACCTATAATTGAAAATAAAAAATGATTAAAAAAAAAAAAGAAATAATGGTAATCAGAGAAGAAAAAGAAAATAATAAAGGTAATTAATTAAAGCATTTTTAGAATACTTCAAGCATTTTGTAAGAAGCATGCTATCTAAAGACAAATTCTTTACTGTTAATGGTAGGTACACAGCAGAGTGTAAGTCAAGACTTGGATTTGGTTCTGGCTTTGCCTTTCCTTACATAATATCATTCTGAGGGAAATCACTCAAACTTCTCGACAACCTCAAGATATTCAAGCCCAGCCGGGTGTGTCTCTGTGGTTGAGCAACGGCCTAGGATCCAGGAGATCATGGTTTGATTTCCGGTTGGGGCACACACCTAGGTTGCGGGCTCAGTTCTCTGTTGGGGGCGTACAGGAGGCAGCCAATCAATGATGACTCATCATTGATGTTTCTATCTCTCTCTCCCTTTCCCTTCCTCTCTCTGAAATCAATAAAGATATATTTTAAAAAAAAAGATATTCAAAATTTGAAAGCTATGCTATTATTTAAGATCCCAAGCAACTGAAATAGCTATTGATGCAATGAGATATCCAGAGNTTCAAAATTTGAAAGCTATGCTATGATTTAAGATCCCAAGCAACTGAAATAGCTATTGATGCAATGAGATATCCAGAGTATGAAAAAGTTCTTGTTAGCAATTGTCCCTTTGATGACTTGTTTATACAGTAATTCACTCTTATCTTTTCTTCCCCTTCTATAATCACAAGAATTACCTACTTGTCCTCAAATATCATTACAAACTACAGTAAAAGGAATACAAATATTGGAAATAATAGGTCAGAATTCAAGTCTCAATTATTATTTTATTTGTTCAACAATATTTACAGCATACATGCCAGGGAATTTTTGAGGCATTAATGATGAAGAAAGGAATAAAACAAAGTTCTTGCCCTCATGAATAAAAACAATATTTTGCAGTGATATACACTAAGAAGGTTAAGTCAAACAGGATGAGGGCACAGCTAGTTCCCTTAGAAAACTGAGTGTGCTATTCCGGATGGCCTTTGTAATGAAGTGATACTACAGCCAAGATCTGGATGAAATGAGAAAGACGGCCATGATGACACAGAGGGAACAAATGTTTCCAGCAGAAGGATTCATAAGCACAGAGGCCCTGAAGCAGGAGCAGCTTAGAATGTTCAAAATTAGCAAGGCCAATGGAATGGGAACAAAGAAAACTTTGAGGAAGAACAATACAAGATGTCATCAGAATGGTGATCACCACCAGATCACGCAGAGGGCCTGGTGGGCCATGGTGATCCACTGAATTGTAGTCTCTGTGTGATGGGCAACGTCTGGAGAATGTTGAACAGGGAATTAACATCACTAAAGTTATATTCTAAAAGGATTACTCTGATTGCTGTGTGAAAAATAGACTTTAGCTGTTGTGAGAAAGTAAAATCAAGGATATTGGTTAGGAGGGTACCACAAGAGCTCAGGTAAAATACAATGACTGCTTTCACTAAGAGGAGAGTAGCAGATCCAGTGAGAATCACTGGGATTCTAGATGTATTTTTAAAAGCCAACAGGATTAGCTAATGGACTCAAAGTAGATTATGAAAGAATGTAAATGACAACTCCATAGTTTATGGCCTTAGAAAGTGGGTAAATGGAGGTTAAGTCTTAAGATCTAGAAACCCTTATCAAGATATTAAATTCAGCTGCTCAGAAATAGCATAAGCATTACTGATATAAAATTGAAACACAAAACAGAATGACTGCTTTTTCAACTCACCATTTGCAGATTGTATCATGTTTCCAGATTTTTGGACTTCATCAAATTTTGTAAAAATTACATTCAACCTGTATGAATTAAAAAATATATATTTAATTAATAACCATCACTGAAAAAAATCAGTGATACAAACCCACCTAATTACAAAAACAGTAACTATATCAGTAACAACATCAACAGCCACCAATAACTGAGCACTTAACTATAGGTCAAGCACTGACCTAAGGGCTCTAACTGAAAGATCTTGTTCAACACTTCTATCAGCCTTATATGGGATTATTACCATCCCCATTTTACAGATAAAGAAATCAAGACTCCCTTAGCTTGCACAGGCAACACAGTTGGGGTGGAGATTCCAGCCCTGAGAATAAGAATCCAGAGCCCGTGCTCTCAGACATTATATTAAACTTACTGCTCTACACAAAATAAATATACATTGTGAAAAGCATATATTTCTCCTATTTCTGCCTAAGCACAGACTGCTGATTACTTAGGATAAAGATTTTTAAAATGCTCTAATATTAAAAAGGCTTTTCTGTGATTTATGCTTAAGTAAAAAGTGCTATAAATAATTTCTCTACAGACATTGCAACTGGATAATCTTCAGCTTAAAAAAATTAACATGACATTATTTTTTTATTAGTGGATCATTTTCACCTACATTTATTGAAGCAAAACTCAATATTCCACCCTAGTGAGACCAAAAGGAGAGAAAAATTGGGAGTGAGAGGGAAGGGGTCAAGAAAAAAGAGGCTTTCCCAAGCAAAACACAGATACATTTGAGTAAGTATAAAGTTTAAGATTCCAAGGTAATGTACTTCAGCATTCAAACCTATGCCACTCAGTTCAGGGACCAAACTTGAAATTTTAGCACTTTCTTACAAACCATACTGTCACACAAGCTCTAATAATTTCAACCACGTTTGTCTTTTCTTCCCAACCAGAATGGAAATTCCTTGGGGGCAGAGATGGAAACTGTATTCTTTTAGCATTCTGTACACACCAAGCACTATGTCATGCAGGAGAGTGACATCACTGTGTGAAAGAGCTGGTACTTAATCCTGTCCGTATCCTCACTAAGGAAAACTAGATATTTCAATCATTCTGGTCTCAGTTCATTTACTAATTCATTCACCGAACCTCACAGAGTTAGCTAGATGCTGACTGTGGCAAATTCCTATTCTCTAGAGTTTCTACTTGCTTCTACTTCATTCTATTCTAGTTAGGATTCTAAGTAATGGGAGTCAAAAATACACATCAGCAGATAGAGGTAAAATGAAAGGGATGAACTAGCCTGATACTACTACTTCTCCCCGTTCCCACTCCATGGTAGATAGCAACAATCTTTCAACCCATCTTTCCATCCAAGTCCAGGTGCAGCTTCAGATAGATTCCTTCTCAAAGCTGCTCCAGGCAGCCACTACCAATTAAGCAAAGTTGACATTTAAAATAAAAATCTATTTCTCATCTCAGGATCAGATATAACTATCACTCACTTTCAAATACAGTGGTTACTATAGACCTTAAAAGATGCTTTAGAATCAATCTTATGTTTCCATCACCTTCCCTTTTATAAGTAGCAAAGATCTCCAATAGCTTAATAAGTCCATAAATAATATCACTAGACAGGTTGCCAGGGCATGCCCTGACCAAGTTACCATTTTACTGTGTCACAGCTACACACCCTGACATGAGCATGCCTGAAAATTTGCAAGTTAGGGACAAGGTATACCTCTAGTCTGGTTGTTCCTGAAATTATTGGAAGGGGGCAATTATTTCTTCCATCCCTGAGAGACTATTCACCATTATCAATGGCAACTACGGAACAATCTGTAGATTCTCTATCTGTGGTAATGTCTGCTTATTATGGCCATATTACACACAACTGGCAGGCCCAAACAGCTAGGTATGAGAATGCTAAAAAGATTACTGTTACTGGAACCTGCCCCTTAATTCAGAATCCCTCAGCAGGCATGCCTTTTCCTGTACTTTCACACTCCTGTCTGACTAGTTGCCTCCATCTCTATTCCATATGCCTATACAATGGCTCTTATCAAAATTACCACCTCAAGAGGTCAGTAACCTGAGAGTCTAATACCAACAAAGCATTCCCTAGGAATGGCTTTTATCTGCTAATTCTGAGTACAGCAATAGAAAATGCCTCTCTTGGGACTTATCAATTTGTAGAAGTCTAAAAGGATGAGTTTTACATGTTCAAAGACATTAAATACATAACTAATGATAATACTCTGAAGCCACCAAATTTTTTTGTTTCCATTTTAAATCTTTAGGTCTCAAATTTAAAATAAATTTCTTTACTAGTTTGACAAATAACCAATACCATTTAGCTCAGATTCTCCTGAATTTTATATTCAACTCTTCAATCCAATTCTCATTTATTTTACTATAAGATTCAGATCAAATTATCCCTTCCTAGACTCTGTAATATAAATTTAAAATAATTTCCTAGAAACAAATACTAGTAACTTCACAATCAACAAACCTCACCTGTACACTCAGACCTTTGCCTTGGTATTTTAGTACACTGTACTTTAATCTGAGCAGACAACCAAAAATTCTAAGATATATGACCAAGGATTCAAACATGAGAAAGACCAACATGAATAAACACATACCCAACTTAAAAAGAAGAGACTATGAAAAGTTATAAAAATATGTCACCAATATTTCCAGAGATAAAATACTGCAAATCACGAAAGCAAACACGGAAGTAGCCCTTCAAAAATGGGGGAAAAAGGAACTCGGAACATCTGCTCCTCCAAAGACACAGAGAAAATACTGGCAAAATCACATTTTTCAACATTCTGGAAATTAAACAAAGGCTTACAGCAATCCAAGGATCATTCTTCAAAGAAAACGGCTGAATCTTGGTAAGAAGAGTAGGTTTTCTATTGTTTTCCTGTGCCCTATTTCCATCTCCAACTCACCAGCTGAAAACCAGCAGCCTCACAGGCCCTGGAAAGAGTTGAGCAAGTCTGCAGCTCAGTAAAAATCCCCATTTTCCCCTTCTCGGGTCCTTGATTCCAAGATGACCAAGAAAAGAAGGAACAACGGTCCTGCCAAAAAAGGGGGCGGCCATATGCAACCTATTTGTTGCTTCCAACACATGCCCAAGGACAAGGCCATTAAGTTCATCATTCGAAACACATTAAAGGCCACAGCCATTAGGGACATTTCAGAAGCCAGTGTCTTCAATTCCTATGTGCTTCCCAAGCTGTATGAGAAACTCCATTACTGTGTGAGCTCTGCCATTCACAGCAAGGAGGCAGGATCCCTTCTCCTGAAGCCGAAGGATCAAACTCCTCCACCCTGATCTAGACCTGTGGGTGTTGCCACATAACCTCCACCAAAGCCCATGTAAGGAGCTAAGTCCTTAAGGACTGAAGAAACGTTCTCTAGGGAAAAACTGAAATGGAAATTGTACTTTAAAGAAAAAAAAAAAATCCCCATTCCCAGAGAACTATCATTATCTGACCTGTTTGGCAAATCCTGAAATCCCCCATTCACAAGATTTATCTTTTTATAAATTCATTCAGAGCATGCTCAGAGCAATACTCTTTACCCTGAAGCCATGATCAAAAAGAATCAGGGACAACTGATTCACACGGCAAATGCCTGAGATGGCAATAACAACTGGAGCCAAGAAACTGACCAAAGAGCTTACAAGGAAAAACTGGAAAATAAGATGTTAACAAGTCTGAAAAGCTCTGACATATTCCTGGGAAACTAAGAGGCCACACACATGTTCAAGGCTGGGTATCTACCCAGGAAAAACACAAGAAGGCACTGTTTCACTTCTGGCTAACCTCGAGGCCCTGCACAAGGAAGCAGTAAAGGGGAAGGGAGAGATGCATAGACTACCTGCCAGAAAACTGAAAGCATGCCCCAACATAGAGACCAAGCCCTTCAGCAAAGGCTAAGAGATATACTGGTTGAAGGCACTTAAGAAAATCTCTGACCAGCCATTAGTTGAATACTAAGCTAACCAAGCAGAGACTTCAATAGTTACACACAACAACAAAAATGGACTTTACAGAATTCAGGCAAGTCAGTGAACAAGCAATGAGCAACTAACATCATCAACAACAAACATGGGGAGTGGAGAAGAACATGATTTGCAAAGGTGTCACATGATATTATTTGAAATGATCAGTTTCAACAACAAATTAAAAGACATGTAAAGAAACAAAACATAGCCCATACACTGGGGGGGAGACACACACAAAAGTCAACAGCTGGTGTTGCTCAGTGATTAGAGTGTCAGTCTGCGCACCAAAGGGTTGCAGGTTCAATTCCCAGTCAGGGGCACATGCCTAGGTTGTGGGTTCACTCCTTGCACCCAGTCGGGGCACATGCAGGAGGCAACTAAGTAATGTGTCTCTCTCACATTTATGTCTCTCTCTCTTTCCCTCCCATTCTCTCTGAAAAGCAATGGAAAAAATATCCTCACGTGAGGCTTAACAAAAAACAAAAACAAACCAAAAAAATCAGTTGACAGAAACTATCCTTAATGGAAGCCCAGGTGTTGGACTTAGCCACATGAATACTTGAAATCAAATATTGTAAGTATGTTGTAAAGAACTAGAGGAAATAAAGTCTAAAGAACTAAAGAAAAGTACAAGAACAATGTCTCACCAAAAAGAGAGTATCAACAAAGATATAGGAAACACAAGAAAGAATCAGGTAAAAATTCTGTAAGTGAAAAGTACAATAATTTCAAAAATTCACTAGCAACTCAATGGATTTGAGCTGGCAGGAGACAGAAGCAGCCAACTTAAACAGGAGTCAATTGACAATATCCTGTTTGAATGACAGAAGGGAGGGAAAAAAACAGGGGGGGAAAAAAGAACAGCACGTAAAAGATCTTTTTTTTATAATACCAACATACACATAATGGGGATCCCAGCAGAGAAGAAAAAGGAACAGAAAGAGTACGTGAAAAAATAATGACCATAAACTTTCCAAATTTTACATAAAACATTAACCTACATATTAAAAAAGAAGCTTTAACAAACTCCATATAGGATAAAGTTAAAGAGGACAAATGATAAGCAAACTGTCAAAAGACAAAGAGAAAATCTTGAAAGCAATAACAGAGAAGCCACTCATGTACAAGAATCCTCAATAAAATTAATAACTGATTTTCTCATAAAAAACAATGGAGGCCAGACAGCAGTGGAATGACATATTCAAAGTCCTGAAATTTAAAATCTCAACCAAGAATTCTATATTCAACAAATTTATCCTTCAAAAATGAAGCAGACAGCATGAATGAACCTGGAGATTATTATGCTAAGTGAAATAAACCAGTCAGAGAAAGACAAATATCGCATGATCTCACCTATATGTGGAATCTAAATAATAAAATTAACTGACGAACAAAATAGGTCCAGAGAAATGGAAGCATGGAACAGATTGATGAATCTCCGAGGAAAGGGAGGGGGGTGGTAGGAAGAGATTAACCAAAGAACATGTGTGCATAGTCCATGGACACAGACCATAGTGTGGTGAAGGCCTGGGGTGTGGCAGGGGCTTGGTGGAGGGGGCAAAAGGAGGAAAATGGGGACATCTGTAATAGAGTCAACAATAAAAAATAAAATAAAAAATGAAGAAATCAAAAGAGAAATTAGAAAATACTCTGAGATAGATGGAAATGAAAACACAATATACCAAAACTTACAGGATGCAGCTAAAGTAGAACTCTTTACAGAAAAATGTATAGGCATAAATGCCTATCTTGAAACAGAAGATATCAAATCAATAACCTAACCTTCACCTCAAAAAATTAGACAGGGGGAGCAAAAACAAAACAAACAAAAGGAAGAAATAATAACAATTAGAGTAGAAATATATGAAAAAGGGAAACAGAAAAACATTAGAGAAAATCAACAAACCAAAAGTTAGTTCTTTGAAAAGACTTTTAGCCAGAACGACCAGAAGAGACAAGATTCCAATTACTAGAATTAAAAGATGAAAGATGACAAGTACAACTGTCCTTAGGGGGGAAAAAAAGAAAGCAAATTGCAAGAGAACATTATGAACAACTCCATGTTGAAAATTAGATAACCGAGATAAAATTCCTAGACAGACACAAGCTATCAAAATAGACTTTAAAAACAAACAAAATCCTAACAGACCTATACCAAAAGACATTAAATTAGTAATCAAAACACATCCCCCCCTAAAGCAAAAAAGGCCCAGATGGCTTCACATTTGGTGAATTCCAATAAATGTTTAAACACGAATTAGTGCCAATCCTACACAGAGTCTTTTAAAATATAGATGAGAATAGGGGAAACTATGGGTAGAGGAGGAGAGGAATAACAGAATTCTCTGCACTTTCCAGTCAGGTTTTCTATAAATCTAGAACTGCTCTAAAAAATAGTCTATTTAGATAAATAGACAGTCCTAAAAAATAAGGCACTTTCCAACTCATTCTATGGGGCTAGTCGTATCACAATAACACCAAAAGCAGGAAAATATATGACAGTAAAAGAAAAGTACAGGCCATTATTCCTTGTGAATCCTGAGACATATAAAAAGAGTTATACACCATGGCCATATGGGACTTATCCCAGAAATACAAGGTTGATTTAATATCTGAAAATCAATTAATGAAATATAACATACCAATAGAATAAAACCAAAGTAATAATCTCAATAGATGCAGAAAAAGTATTTGACATAATCCAACATCCTCTCATGATAAAAACACTCACCATACTAGAAACAGAACTTCTTCAACCTCATAGTCATATACAAAGACATCTACAGCTAACATCAAAACCACAATAAGATACCCATTAGGATGGCTATTATCAAAACAAAACAATGGAAACTAATATTTGTACGCAAGGATGTCCACTGATGGTAGGAACACAAAATGGTGCAGCAGCTATAAAAAAACAGTATGGCAGTTCCTCAAAAAATTAATTACCATATGATCCAGCAATTCTACTTGTGGGTATATATCTAAAAGAACTGAAAGTAGGACCTAAACAGATATTTGTATAGCCATGTTCATAGCAGTATTCTCAGTAGCCAAAAAACTCAAGTGTCTATCAACAGAAAAGCAGATAAACAAAATGTGGTATATACAAACATTCAATGGAACTTTATTCAGCAATAAAAAAAGAATGACCCACGCTACAATACAACAGAACCTTGAAAACATTATGGTAAGTGAAAGAAGGCAGTCAACAAAAGACTACATTTTATGTGATTTTTATTTCCATGAAATGTCCAAAAAAAAGGCAAATCCATAGAATTAAAAAGAAGACTAGTGGTTGCCAGGGGCTGAGGGAAAGGAAGGAATGGAGAAGAATGGAGAGTGACTGCCAATGGATATGGGAATTTTTGGGGGGGGTGATGAGAATGTTCTAAAACTAGACAGTAGTAATGGCTCTACAACTTTGTAAATATACTAAAACCACTGAACTGTTCACTTTAAAAGGTATACAGTAAATTATGAAAATTATAGTTACAAAAATATTTCAATAAGCTCTATTTTTAAAAATAAAGAAAATAGAGTGCTATAAAAATGAAACATACAGTGAACAAAAAAGAGTTTAGAAATTAAAACAAAAGAGGAAAACTTTTTAAATCAAACATCCAATAGAATGATTGAAAGATAAATTTGAGAAACTCTCACAGAAGACAGAGCAAAATCGTGAAGCTATGAATGGGAGAAATAAAATTAGAAAACTAGTCCAAGTGGTCATAACATAACTATTATATTTACAAATAAAAATAATTATATATTTTTTAAACTTGCCCACATCCAAACAGCTTGCGGTTCCAAATTGAAAGCCCCCTGCAAGCATACAGTACAGTGAAAATAGTCTCTACAAGACCCATCACATGCCCAGCCAGCATGGCTCTGTGGTTGAGCATCGACCTATAAACCAGGAGGTTGCTGTTGATTCCCGGTCAGGGCACATGCCTGGGTTGTGGGCTCGATCCCCAGTGGGGATTGCACAGGATGCAGCTGATCAATGAATCTCTCTCATCTCTGATGTTATTATCTCTCTCCCTTCCTCTCTCTCTGAAAATAATAAAAAACATTTTTAAAAAATCAGATTTCAAAATTTCAGACAAACACCAGAGACAAAGAGAATCAAAGTTATTTACATAGGATGAAGACTCAGAATGACTTTGGACTTCTCAGTAGAAACACTGAAAGGAGAAACACATGGGCATTAGTTTTAATATTGTGGATGAAAATGACTTTCAACCTAGATTTCTATACCCTGACAAACTAGCAATGTCAAATCAGAATAAAGATATTCTCAGACTCAAAGAAAGTCTCTTCCA